CGCAGCGGTGGTCCGCGCCCGCCCCCGGCCTCGTAGCGCGAAGTGTGTCACTTCCAGAGGGGCTGCGGGTTGCGCGGAAACGGTGCCGCGTCCCGGCCGCGCTCCGGCCGGCCGGCTCCCCTGCCCTAGGGGGTTCGGGGAGGGAAGGCGCGGAGGGGTCGCAGCTTACGTACCCCGGGCCGGGGAGGTCGCCTGCCGGCGGGTCCCCCACCCCCGCATCGTCTGGGCCGCCCGCCTGAGCCGCCGCCGCGCTCTCGCGCCGAGAGAAGTTGCGAAGCAGAAGCCGCCCTCCCCCGCGCCCGCCGCCCCCCTCCCGAGTCTGCGAGGCGGCGGCGGCGGCAGAAGGAGGCGCCGCCTGCCAAGTTCAACCCCTGCCCCTCCCTCGCTGCGCGCTCGCACTTGAAGGAAGTTGCACGCCAAATGCAAAACCTCCCGCGAGCCGGATTTCTTCGCACTTTTTAAATTGTGATTAAGGAAAGTAGGGGGTGGCAGGTCGACAAGCAAGTTGCAGACGCAGTAGTAAGTTGCGGGCGAACTACGCCTCCCCCGTCCAATGCCCTGACCTCCCCCTGCACCCCCTCCGGGGCGCGCCTCCAAGTTCCCGGCGGAGGTCCCTCCCCCGAGTCTTGACATTTGCCGCCCCGACTCCACGGTCGCTCACCCTTTCGCGTTCCGGGACCCCTGCCTCTCCATATAAAGCAGCACACGCGCAGCGTGCACATGTCAGCGCTGACCTCCGCCGGCGGTCCCCGTTCCGCGCCCCCTCCGCCCGGGCAGACACGCGGCGCGGCCCCGAGGACGGCGAGGGTCGTGGGCGCAGAGTCCCGCGGAGACCCCGCCCCAGCCCGCCGCGTGGGGAAGGCTTGGGCGACGCCGGGACCGAGCCTCTTTCCTACCTGGCGCGGCGCATGTTAGGCTCCCTGTGACTCGGGGAGAGTGGTGCTGTGTCGCTCGGGTGGGAGGTAACTTTTGCGCCCCCACAGGTGACAGCACTTGGCCGCTTCTGACGAGAGCCGGGCCGCCGCAGCTCCACCTAGTCTCAGCCCCGGGCGTGCGGCCGCGGCCACTCTCTCCTCCCGCCGCGCTCCGACTCTGTCGGCGGCCGCCTCTGCTCTGACATCTTGGAGCCGAGTGGGGGAGCACGTGCCGGAAGCTGCCCGCCGCCATCTTGGTAAAGCGGTGATGCCAGCCGGGCTCCGCGGCCACCATCTTGGCAAAAGTTCTCAATTGCGACCAGCCTGAGTTGCCCTTCCTTGGTCCAAAAGGGTAAACGCTGCCATATGTGCAGTCTGGTATGTAAGGAAGAAGTTGGCTTGAAGCAGGCACTTTGTTCTGAGAGTATCAACGGGGGCCGCTTCCAGAGGATTCTTGGGCTGCCATCTTGGCAAAGGAAGAAACTGCCTCAGAAAAGGGAAGAAAAAGCTATGCCAATGGAGAATGACCTGACAGAAGAATGTTTATGAAGAGTGCACAGAACTCAGTGTTGACAAAACCCCTTTTCAATCCAAGAGCGCCTCCTCCTGCCACAGCCCGCATGCCTAGAAGGTACAAGTCAACTACAAGGATGCTTGGCTTTGGTTGCCTGTACTGGGGATTAAATAAGAATTTACCCTGAAACTCCGCTTTGCATACTTGCCAGTTTGTCCAAGTTCTAAGTCCTCGGTACTAGAGTCAGATGACTTTCATGGATTCATTCTCCAATTAACAATTCTGGGGAGACCCAATCCTATGATAATTTATTCATGCTTTAAAAGGAATTATCCTTGTACATTTGTATCCCTGTACATTTAAAAGAACTAGGAATTATACATATATGCATATACTTATATGTATACATGTATATTACATATATGTATGTAAAGGGACCATAGCAGTTATTTGGCAAAACTTCTCCACATACCATAAACCTATTTCATAATTGAATCTCTGCTGTATGAAAAAGAATCTACTTCATCTCTCAAACATATTGGAATTGGAAGTGATAGATAATTTGCTTTTAAATAATTTAAGATTTTATGAGACTTCTTAGTTAACTGTACATTGACCCATATCTGTGTTCAAAATAAGAATAGTTAGAGCTTATGGTTAACATTTATTGGCATCCCTTTGCTGCCCAGTCTTGCTGACAGTTGAACGGAATAAATGTTTTTACAGTATTTGATTTTTCTCTTGGTGATGGGATCCAACTCAGGGCCTCTTATGTTCTACCAAGCACTCCACTACTGAGCTATAATACCAGCCCTATTTTATTTTTCAGTGTGAGGAAACTGAGGCTCAACAGAGGTTGATGCTTATCCAAGATCACACAGCCCCTACGTGTTGAGGGTGGAATTGATGACTATTAAGGAACTTTTTCTCCCTAACCTCATAATTTCCATGAAGCATATAGCAATCCCATGATAGATTTAAGTGCTTATGGAATTTAAGGGATGAAGTTTGTTATATCAAAAAAGGAGGTAAGTTTTAGTTATTACAATTCTAAGAATAATTAACATGTATTGAGCACTTACTAGTCTGCCAGGCACTATGGAACATTTTAATGTACTATATCTTAATTCTTTAATATGATATTTATTTATCTGTAACCCTGGAAAGTTAGTGCTACAAGTTAAGAAATAAGACAAATTTCTCCATCTGAGGGGAAATGTATTCGATTGTCTCAATGTTGAAACTCTATCCAGGCAAGGAACTGATTTGCTTCTTTATTGCTTTATGTCCCACTCTTAGTGCACAGCTCCATATAAATAGACTCAGCAAACATTTTGGAGTTCTAATAGTAACATTGATCTACTAGTCAACTGGACATAATAATCACTGGGTTGTTGTGGTGACCAAATAAATTAATGAAAAATGTACAAATATTATTCAGGATCTTCTTTTTCTTTGTCATGGATTTAAAAATCTGTCCTTTCCCTTAAAAATAGTTGTTTATTACTGTATTATTATATGTTCTTATAGTATCCTGTATAATTTATTTTGGTAGCACTTAGCAGTGATCATTATTTGTTCACTCATTTGTCATATTGCTTTATCCTCCACTACGATATAAACCCATAAAAGCAGGGACTGTGTCAGTCTTCTTCACTGCTGTATTTCTAGTGTGAAGTAGAAGCTCTGTGGGTGTTTGTTGAATGAATGTACATAGTCTTAAAGGCTGTGGCCTAAGATCAACAGAACCTTAAGGTGGAAAAATAACTGAATCATCTTTTATATGTATATAGTATTTGTTATATTATCCAAGAGAGTTCTCCTATTCTGCTCATCTATTTTATCATTTCTATTCCTACTAAAGTAACCCAAGCCACTTTACCAGATTACCCCCTTTAAAATACCAATTTTTATGCCATGCTTCTGGTCCAAATATACAATAATTTGTTGTAAATTCAGGGATATGCTGGTCACTCTTGCACTCTGGTATTTAACACCATCATCTTTCACCTTTCCCCTTTATAGTAGATGAGGCCTTCTAGGTTATGTGATTAGACTGACATTTAAATGTTTGGAAGTTATTTAAAGCAAGGGAATTATAAAAAATGATTACTTGGAAGCTGTAAACTTTTTGAAACCTAAAACCTATCATTTGTACATTTATTTACTAATCTTTTGATGAAGGCCTAGAGATTTCATGAATTCACTAACTGGAGTTCCATGACTTCTTTTGTGTATCAACTATACCCACAGTACAGTAGACCACCATAGCGGTTAAAAGCCATACTGGGCAAAATCCATTTTCTTTCACTTTGAGGAATGTTAGGCAAGTTCCCTAACACTATGCCTTAATTTACAAAATGTGTTAAATGGTAATGAAAATAGTACTAACAAGTTATAAACAAGTTTGTTATGTGAAATACTTAGAGTACTAATTCCTGGGGACATATATTAAATGTTCAGTCACCATCATCAATTATTATTATTACTCATCTGTAGTATTACTGTTTTCTCCAGTTTCCTTTTCAAAGTAGAGCAAGAAATTAAAGGTATTTACACAATAAGTGCATATTTCCAAATGTTTATGATTCTTTCCTTCGGCCCTCACTTCAGTCTTTGAAAATTATCTCACATCCACCTTATTTTGACTGCAACTGTTTAAATGGGATTTTTCTATTTATTTTTTGTAGAACAATGATGTCTTTTTATACTGTTATGTCACCCTTTACTTAATATTCAATGAAATTAAGTAATTACAGCAATAAGCACAAACATCATAAATGTGATCAAGTAAAATGCCCAAAAGATGTGGTACTAGCTCAGCTGGTGACGGTAGCAGTGAGTAATAGTGACTCTACATTCACCATACCTTGGGCATCCATCATATGTGTTCTGAACTTGGTTTAGTTGCAATGTGTTGACTAATGTTGGTTATGAAAGATCTTGTTTAGAAAAGGACATAGCACGCTACATTCCCACCACTGCTATTATTGATCATATACATTTTCTCTTATAGAAAGACACATATTT